TTCCAAAATTTCCAAAAATCAAGACCCTATTCAGCAGAGTCGGTCCTAAACATTAGGGGGGGAAATTTTGGAAATTTTACAAATTTTAGACTCATGTACATGCGACATGGACCTCGGAATTTCTGAGAAATTTTCGGAAATTTTAGAATCATATACATGCGACATGGACCTGGGAATCACAGATATTTTGGAAATTTTGGAATTTTTGGAAGTCGGACTGAGTCTCGCACCTGAGCAGGACAGTGAAATGTGTGGGTTCCGGGGGGGGGNNTATTCTGGGGTAGGTTTTGGGAGGGGGGGGGTACGATATATATATATATGTGTGTGTGGGAGCTGAGCGAGGTGCCGCGAGGTTTTCCTTCGGAAGGTCGCCGGTAGTAGTCGTTCCACCTCGCTGCTCCAAGAGATCCGGTGCTGAAGGATTTGCTGCCTCTGTGCTAACACCTCGGAGTTAGAAGGCAAGACAGGTCATCATAGCTCTTCTGGCCGAGCCACATCGGAATCTTCGATGCTTCGGTCTGCAGGTCCCACATGATCCACTCTTTCTTTCCTGCAAAGACACCTTGCAGGGAGAAATGAACTGGACTCCTCATCCTCTGGGCTCCGTGCCCATTCAAGATGCTGACAAGCCACACATAATCTGGTGGTTCATGTCCTCAGCTTGGGTTAGCGGCGTTGTGTGAGAATGTGTTGCTCCGCGTGGCAGGATAATGGCTTCCAGCTCTCGCATGTTGCTTCTTCTTTCGTAGGCTCATGAGGATGCTATTCAACGAAAGCTGCTGAGCAGTTCCGGAGTCGTCTTGCGACTCTCCCACCATCTCCAACCCCTGTTTGCTGCTGAAGTAAAGGAGCTTTCAATCGGCGAATGGCTTGCAATAACGGTGCGAAGTCACAAGCACCAACATACCGCTGCAGCCTGGTGAACCACAGTCATATGCTCGTACAGGTAACCCATGTGCAGTAGCTGTATACTTCAACCTATATTTAACCCACACAGCAACAGATGGTCCATGTCAGCTCCGTGTCGTAGTGAATGGTGGATGTTCCCATCATCTCGGGCGGCACGCGCAAATACCAGAAGTTGTTCTCATACCTCGCGGGAGACAAAAGGGTCCTTCCGGCTTTTCAGGGTGGGGTGCTACAAGCAGGGGTTCGGGGGCATGTCTCCCGGTAGCACCCTCGGAGTATTCCAGTCTTTCATGCTTCTAATTATGACACCGCAAAAGGGCTTAGGCCAGCGCAGTTGCGTCATCCACGGCCTTGGTTGGCTGTTGGTCTAGGGAAAGCCTTCAAGGGAGGCATGATCAGCAAACCCTCGAGTCTCTCAATGCGTCGCTCTCAGAAACCGTTGAAGCACCTCGACAATTGAAGTGCGGATTCTCCCACGATAGCAAACGTAACAGCCTTGCAGCTGAATGACTTTGAAAATTCAGCCACACTAACACGTCTGCCAGGATGCTTGCCCTTGACATGTCCACCTGGCGGTGTCACGGCTTCGCGCAGTTTCTTGCAACCGGTCGCGAGTCTCTTCCCCACAAACTTCCAGCTCACCCCAAAGCACATTGAACACGAAGGGAAGCCCTGGAGTGCGGGAGGGCGGTGGGGGTGACTTGTTGATTCCAAGGCAACTGAGCTCTGCCTGGGGGCCGCTTGCCGCAGTTCATGAAGCTCGGGACTTTCCACTCCTCCAAGGCTCTACTGAAAACTCCAAGCATATTCGAGTGAAAGTCTGGACCTATCCGAGCCTGTCCGACCTCACAACTTCGTCTCGCATTGGCACATCCTGACTTTGCCGAGGAGCCTTGCCCATGTCATCTGGCATCTGTGAGATGATATACCTGCAGCATATGGAGTATTACTTATTACCCTTCAGACATACTTGTTGCTTCCTCAAGCGACTGAGTCGATAGTTCGGATTCGGTGGTAGTACTACATTGGAGGAAGGAAAGCGGATGCCTTTGCTCAATGAATTCTTCGGGAACGGCCGAAAGGCTTGACATGTCTTTTGGGACTGACAGTCCTGGGTGCTTGGGGACACTTTGCCGCCCCGTTGAGGACATGGTCCCACGCCGGCACGACAGTCGCCTCATCTGATCTTGAGTCCCAGTAGCTTGGCCCAGCTCGGGTCTTCGCGACTCTTGCGAATGAAGTTTCGGATGCTGGTGCGCGACTCGACGTAGGGGATGGTGTCCTCAGTGTTTCAGTTTTCAAACTTCCTGCTATCTGGTGCATGATCGCCAAAACGGGGTTGGGATTGGTTTCCAGAAAGACTCTGCGCCCCACAACCCCCAACATCTTGAGGATGAACTGCAAGCTCTCTCAAGCCTTAGGCTGCAAGCTGTCACCCAGTAATTAGCAAAACGCAAACGCCCATGCTGGCCAAATTAATGCGGCCAAGAAATCCTTAGGGCAGTGAATTGTCTCGCCCTTGATGTCTTGGCCGCAGTAGTCCGTGAGGCGGTCTTCGTTCCGCCACTCCACCTGTTCACGCGGGGTCATAAGGGCAGGAGGCGCCGCAAAGTAAGCATAAAACCAAACAGATGCAGGCATGTCACCACGACTGCAGTACAGTTTGGAAACATCATCATGCCCCTAGGAAATGGTTCCCAACAAGCGCAACCACTCGCCAGTCTCAACTTCATGCCGTCCACCTCACGTGGCCTGACCTCACACTGTCGCCAAATAGCATCCACAAGCCCCAGCCCAACTCGCACGACCAGAAGCGCCTTGGCGACCTCGCTGCCAAAGTGGTCCATGATGTACCTTTGCTTGCAGCTATGGAACCAGGGCTATTCAGGAAAAGTCTAGAGTCTTTAGACAGGTCGGAGGCTTTGAACCTTCGACAGTCCCCGAGGCCGGATCACTTTCAGATTTCTCGTCAATCCCCACCTAGCGGCTGATCTGTCCAGTTCATGGCTGGAGAAAGGCGGCCTGCTCCTTTCACGATGAAGGGCCTTGGCTGCTGATGCCATGCAACTGAAGCTGACGATGCCTGGCATGCCGTGGCTTGTGCATGAGAAATCCCCGGCATGGCTAGTGGCCCGCGTCCCTCCTCGGACCTCAGGAACCCTCAACCCAAACCCGATGTCCTGGCCTTCGCTGCTTGTGATACTTCTTCCAGAAAGTCTTCTGATCTGGCGGCTCCGTGAAAACATCAACCTTGCGTTGCTTCCGAGGCAAGATGTACATGCTGGAAACCTACAGCCGAGACTGCTTACAAACAGTGGAGATGTAGGAATCAGTAGTCTGAGTCTGCAAATGTCGAATCTGGATATGCACATGCGTCTGTAGATCGCAATGCAGCTGTGAACGTACATGTGTGGATATAGACACGCATGCACATCTCCCTGCAGCACGCAAGATGTAGTCCTTAGGCTAAAGCCTTAGTTTCGGCCGGGTCCCATGCCCTGATCGCCTGAATGACAACCCTAAGCCTAAACCCTAAACCCTAAACTCTAAACTCTAAACCCTAAACCCTAAGCCTAAACCCCCAAAAAATCGCCATGAGGGGGCCTCCCCATTCCAGGAGTCCAGAAAGTCCGGGTGGCCCAAGGGCTTGAAGTTGCCCTTCGGGGAGCCTCCCGGAGAGCGGAGTGTTCCTATAACACAGAGGAGCTTTGCAAATGCTAGCTGCCGTTGCTCTTGCTGTTGCTGGTGTTGTTGTCTGTAATGACCGAGGTGGTGGTCTTGGCAGTCTCGCAGCCTTCCGGGCTCTCGTGGATGCGGAGGTCCCTGAACTCGTATCGCTTGTCGCAAAGGCCCCGGGCAGCACAATTCTGCCAGAACCTGGGCTGCAAGGAGCCTCACCGGCACCTCTGGACCCTAAGATGCTTCCTGAATTCTTTGAATGGTCGGAGAGATATTGTTCGTACACCCTGAAACCTCGGCCAAATTCATCGTGGCAGTAGCACCTGTGCTGCAGTGTTGATGCAAGCGACACCCTGGGCATGCACTGATTGAATTGCGATGTTTACCTGGTGCCTGCCTGAGGTACAAGGCATGGAGTACGACCATAAAGGAAGAGTGCTTAATGGCTGTTGCTCAAAGTTTGACAAGCAGGCTCATCTCTCGGAAGAGCCAAGCAATGTGGGATGACTTTCGGCTCTGGGCTGTGTGGGGGGGGGGGGGGGGGCATCTCATTGCGCCGGGCTTGAAGTATCTTCCAAATGTCTGCTGGAGCAGTGCTGCCAAGAGTGAAAGATGGGAGCCTTTCTGTTTGTGATGCCGGCAGATTCGATGCTTAAGGGCTGCGGCTGGAGTTCCAGACCTGAAACTTTCCATTCGCGGTTTAAGCACTGGTCTCTCTTTCCACCCGCAGTCGACAAGCAGCTTCACATCCGCTATTGTGGTACCTAGAAGCTGACTTGTCGTTGCTTGGGCACCCGTGTTTCATTGCCTTCTCAGGCAATTCGCAAGCCCTGGACTGATTTGCTTCGACTTTTGCCTATGGTCTGAGGGACGGGGGCTGCAAGTTTCGAAGGCGACAAGCCTCCACAGAGTCAACATGACAACTCGCGCATGATGCGGTTCAAATTCAGCAGGGTGGCTTGACTTTGGATGCCCCAAGGCTCCCAAGGGGCCGCAGCAAATGCAGAGCCAGCAGCAAGGAGCCAGATGCAGTCGACCGTAGCATCGTCATCTCATGACGCACGGCTTGAAGGGATCACCGGCTAATTAGGCGACTGCGCTGTCTAGATTCAGCTGACACGTCTTAGGCTGTGCCTGGAAGGCCAGAGGCTTCATCGTGTGCAGAACTTCGAGTCAGTAGCAGTCTCGTTCATGCGTGAGGACAAGGACATGGAAAGGTTCCCGCAGCAAAGTCCTGATCTCTGTAAAAATTTGTCAGCATTAAAATCATTAAATGCTGCAGAGCCACAATGGATGCTGAGCAGTGAACGAAGCCAACAAGTCCGCTTCCGAATCTGCGAGCTTTCTACCTACCGCGCTGGCTACCTGCTGCCCCAATCGAACTCTTCCTGAGTTGGTGCCTTGCGCCCCTCTCCTTGCAAAACCCTTAGGACGTCCACTCTGCAAAGTGGTGTCAGTGGCGCACCGCGCCCTTCCCACCATCCAGCTTTTGTGCCATGCCTCAACTTCAACGAGGCAGACAACTGAGACCCGTCGTACCAGCAAGATGGGTTGCCCTCTTGCGGCAGTGTGACGCCGTAACTACTTCAGAGTTGAGTAGTATGGCTCGCTTAGCCAGCTTGAAGCAGGGACGCTGGATGCTCGGCTTGCCAAAGCCCATGCAGTGTACATTCCGGCAGCGTTGAGAATCGGACAGGTCTCGACATTCTTCCTCAGCGCTCCAACAGCATCCTTGTCATCGGACTCGGTGAACCACACCTGCCATGTTTCGCAGCAGGGCGTTGAGCATTGGCAACGAAGAACCACGAAACGAACTACGCTGCCAGGGCCGCTTTTAGACAAGCACAAGCTACACCAGTGTGCAATAGTAATAATAATAATAGTAATAATTAAAAATAAAATAATGATTAATAACTATACCAACTATACTGCGTGTTAAAATACTGCGCTATCTTCGATTATACTATTGTCTAGCCTTTTCTGCTATGTTAAACTACATTCGATTACAGTATACTACAGCTACTGCAGCCTAAGATAGTACGAGTACCCGGGGCTCTCTAGCTGCTCGCATTCCAGCCTAAACTCCAAACCCTAATACTCAGCCCTTACACCCTAAACCTCTACACCCTGAACCCCTAAACCCCTCAACCAAAAACCCTAAACCCCGACTAAACCCTAAACCCCAGGCCCTAAACCCTGAACCCCAAAACTTCCGCCTCAATACGGAGCACACCGGCGGCCCGAGGCCCGGAGAGCTTGTCCACGAGCCGAACTCCTGCAACGACAGGCACTGCCAACTGCTAAAGCTTGCGTAATATATGATAGGTGAACTAATGAAACTAACCTATCATAAATATAGCAGTGTATAGTATGGTATGGTGCATTATGATGTAGAAGACTGTAGCAGAATATACGTTCCTGAGGGTACAGGCCTTAGACTGGTGCTACGAGCTTCCGTTCATTGCACATTCGTCTGCAGCCGTCCTGTGATCATATTCGGCGGCTCGATTGTTGCCCCAATGATGCCCAGCACCAAATTGTTCCAATACCTGGCCCATGCAACGCCATGTCCAACATCCAATTCTTAGGCTGCAATTCGACGCAAAGGCTCACACCTTCCAGGGACACCCCTACACCTTTCGAAGCCAGGAATCCTAGAGGCCTCTGAAACCCAGCCAGCGCGGGGGGGGGGGCACTCGTCGATTTGACCGGGACCAGCTCCAGGCTTCAGTTGGAACTGGCGCGTTCAAAGGCAGAAATGGAACTCGGGACTCCCCCCAAAGGGCCATTCGGGGGGCAAGCCTGAAAGTGGCCGCCTTTGGCATTCATTGGGTCTTCCCACTCAGGACCTCAGCATCCAGGCAGCGGGTGTCAGCTCGTGCAGCTATCGTATCTGAGCGGACGAATACTGTCTGACACAAATGGATGCCCGCGGATAGCCTGTGAATTCGGGCCCGTGCGGATGCTGTCTCTGAAAATCATGAGCGCATCGATCACGTGCAGTCCGTCATGCTGCTCTCGCACCTGCCGCGATCAGGTTGTCATGCTCTCGCCCCTGTCCTGGTCTCAACTCTAGTAAGTGCTGGCTATGTGATACCCAGCCTCTAAAGACTTTGGAAAGTCCCGTTGGGGTGGAAGTTCAATCATTATCATGTTGTAAACCCACGGGTCCTGTCTGATACTGGTCGAGCGATTGTTTAGGCGTAAGTTGGTCTTGGGCGGTTCTGGCTCTGGTCGTGGTTTTGGGCATGATTTTTCTCAAGTTTGGGAGTTCTTTGGACCTCTGTCGTTCCGGACACCAGTCCACCGAGAGCATCCATGCCGGATGAGACGACGGTCCTGCACCACCGCATCAGATCATGTCCACACCCAGTGCAATGGCGCTTCTTCTTCCAAGTCATCTTTCCTGTTTTTGCTCACGCTGGCCCACGAGCGTACTTAGGACGACTTCGAGGGGTCATTCAGCCTGTCGAAATGCCGGTGCATGCCGGTGCCAGTGATAGCTCGGAAGGGGGAAGGATGGGGGCCGCGAATGTCAATGCTGCCAGAAAATCGATGAGGATGTTGGCAACTACATCGATGATAAAACTGATGGTAAAAACGATGATGATCATGGTGATGATCTTAGTCATGATGGTGTGTTGGCTCCGATGCGCTGCTTCTTTTGGTTTGTTGCCGTTTACCGTTTCTTGTTTTGGGCTGCCTGCATGCGGCATTCCGTGGCATGTGCCTTGCTGTGTTGCATATGAGCGCTTTTCCTTTCTACTTTGCGGTGCTCACTCAGCAACGAAGAACTTGAACCACAAAGCACACACCGCACATGTGTGAAATAAACAACCGCTATCTGGATCTCAATCTCGCCTATTGCAGGCAATTCTCTGTAATGAGCAAGCACATATGCGTAGTGTTCAGCCATTACAGCGAACCAGTGTGCTTTGTGGTTAGTATCTGACGAGGTGCATTGAAGCAACTCAGCCAGATATTGGGTTCATCCATCCCGCATCACCGGATGTACCATGCCTGCTTGCACTTAGAGTTTCAGTTCCCCGCAAGCTCAATCAAGCAACCACCGTGGACCTGACCCATTTCAGGCACGAGAGGTCGAAAACACTGCGACTCCGAGCATTGGAACCAGCTACTAGATGCTTCGATTACAGCTGCTTGGAGGCAATGGAGGTGCTGCACACATCCGGCGAGTCGCTGTACGCATAAAGCCAGATCGAATCTGCGAACAGACTTCAAACACGCCTCTTGGCAGAACTTGATGGCGATCCTACACTGATGTCACGAGTCTTCAGACATGGCGGAAACTCAAAGCCAAACGGAAGCTCCCGAATGGGCATGACACAAGGTGCCTGGCGTGCAATGTCTTCTGGAATATGCTGTATTCGCCCCACCCCCCAACCCCAAAGTGATACCCAGCAACTCTAGACCAAACCGAAAAAAAACGTACATGTCAAGCCCGAAGACTCGCGTGGGAGGCAATCCGCTTGGATTCGAGCAGTGTACTGGGCTGCGGCACATGGTTCCACAGCCTTCGGATGTGGGGAGACTTGGGCATGAGCGTTATAGGGATCAGAAATCCGGACAGAAAGATGGGCCTGAAGCCACTGCTTTTGAAATCGAAAGGTCTTTAGTGGGCAAGGCTGCAGGCTTTGAACAAGCGCATGCAGACTTCTGGGGCCATCCAGCACCTCACGTAAAGACACAAGACATGTATCGGACTTGTTACAAACTGCGGAAAAGCCGAACCGCAAGTTAGCGTTAGGCAACCTGATCTTGAAACCTACATTGCCCACAGAATGTCTCATGCACAGAGCTAGGTCCAGAGCGGGAATTATTGAATCATATAAGAAGTCGGCACTACCACCTTAGATGCTTACAATACCTAAACTTCCCGAAAGGAATGTCAATGTTGAAAGTGTTGCTGCCACCACTCTTGTTCGGGCGACGCCACTGACATTCCTAGAGCTTGCGATTTCATCCGGGCATTGCGTCTGTCAGCTCTCATCCGACCTCCAGAAATCCTGGACTGTGCCGAAGCTCGCCACCTCCCGCTGAGGTCGGGGTTGCAGTTGGGCCAAGCCAAAGTTTTCGATTTTCAGAAGTCGGGGCTTTGCTACAAGATGATCTGTTTACATCTTCGGTTTAACCGTTACGAAAGTAAGCTGCTTAAATGCAAGGTTTTCGGGGTTACTGCAATGGGCTGGAGTTTTGCAGCTTGCCGTGACTATTGCGGGGGCTCAGAACACAGTGTGCCCTGGACGGCTCTGCATCGGGTAGAAGACTTACCGCCGACGTTGGTAGCGAGCTAGACATGTCTTTGACGACCCCCTGGTGATTCCGATGAGGCGTCATAAAGGATCCTGAGTCTGACTTCGTTTGTCTGTTGAAAGCGGCGTGCAGGCCCGGATCTAACAAACGTCAACAGACACACCAACTTCCAATTCTTTGCAACTTCCGACCCAAAGTGTGAAGAGTTCCGTTGCCGCACAAGCAGTTCCGGTTTCGCGCCTTCTGCGTCCTCTGTGAGTAGTTTGCATCAACCTTGCCGTCCGAGGTTACTTGCTCCCACACACTCCACCTCGGCAGTCAGCACGGCTGCTTCCATGAAACGAGTTGCCAGTGCGCGGAGATCCGATCATACAGGACATTGCCAGGAGCGGGCGTATGCAAGCATGCTGATAAGTTCTCAGCCCTTCAGAGTGTAAGCCCGCCGCGTGTACTGAAGAGGCAAGTCCTGCTGGTTAAATTCTGCTCAGGGACAGTAAGAAGCTACAGTACGGCCGAGTGAATGCGAATACTCTTACACGAAACAACCGCAGGCTCCCTCCTCAGGACTTTCGGCTGGCGGGCTGGTAATAGCAATAAGGCAGTGTAGCAAGCATTTGGCAATGCATAGCTGCATCACCACAACCAATCGCTAGCACAAGGAATGATGTGCAAGAAGAGAATGTATGCTGAAGCTTCAATGAATACAAATCTTGGTGGTGTGTCACCGCCATCGATGCAAGCTAACGGCTCTGTAAGCGTGCATTGTTTGCTGTAGCAGTGTTGCCCAATTTTGATAAGCCTGTGAAGCAAACTAGCATCAGGTGGTCTGAGTTGGGACCACGAGATGAGAACTGAGACAGCGGGGGCGGCGGGCCCACCGAGTGGGCACCGGCTGATTCAACAGAGGGCCTTTGCCTGCTGCACTCTGGCCTCAAGTTATGGAAAACTAATCCACGCCCGTATCTGCATACTTGCATGCCCAATCGCACTGGCGCATGAGCTTGCAACTCCAGGGGTGCTTGCCGTTATGTGGAATGTAGAAGTCTTGGAAGCTAGCGGGGTCCACAACTGCGTCAGCCTTGTTGGCTCATTGCCACTGATCACAGGAAGATCGAAGCCACAGTTTCAGTGCCATTTCCATGCGCTCCTTCTTGAGCATTTCCATCGTCTCTGACTCATCCTGGCACATTTGCATTGACTTTGACAACACGTTCAATCTGCACTGTGCGGGTGGACTGCGCAGGTCGCTGGGACGCAAGTCGCTTGATTTCAGGTCTGCAAGGCACTGCGTTGTCAGATTCTCTGTTCTCTGAACCACGTAGTTTGCGTAGCACCTGCCACCAGCAAGAGAAGCAGAATTTCAGCTTTCAGCTTCTTGAAGGTGTATTTCGAAACCCCTGGAATCCAGACCTTGGCCCGAGCCCCGGCTCAACATGGATCCATAGCCTCCTGAACGAACTGAAGCTTGTCATTGATGCCCTCGTTGAAGCTCAAAAACCTCATCCGGGGAAACAAGGCACCGCAAGTTAAGCGGCCGTAGCCTTGAACCGGTTTACATCCGAGCATGAGTCTATGGGTTTCGCCGGTAGATTTGCCTATGGCAATCCAAGCTGTCATCGTGTCTGGGTCGCAGAGATTCACCTCTGAGCTGCGGACATCTTCTCCATGAGTACCTGGCAAGCCGCAGACTGAAAGAGGTGGCGCGGAACAGCACGGAGCAATGATGTGGCGATCCAGTGTAGGTGTTAAACTTGTTAAACATTGTCAACAACACAAGTTTAAGCACACTTTTGCACAGGCTTGCTGTAAATATTGAGTCAGACACCGGAGACTTCGGAGTCTGCCAGTCGCCCAGGAAACTGTTCAATTTCACCAGGCTTTCGCGAAGCCGTCGCGGTGACAAGCTGCCTAGGACTATGATGCGCAAGCTTGCATATCACTTACCGTGTCTGTGCGTGTGTGTGTGTGTGACACGATAACATTTCATACGTAGCCAACACATACCACTGCACGCGGTTATCGACCGACTAGATGTAGATCATGAAAAAAATGCAGAATAATGCCACTAACGTGTATATACACTTACATTTCAACACTTAAAGCAAACAAATAGACATAAATTGATAATTATGCATGTGTTTCCCTACGTGTTTGTTGCATATGCACATTGCATCCCACAAGTTCGGACGCTCTCGGTATGGTTGCCATGCTGCCTTGAAGCCAATATTATTCCTTATGGTTCCTTAACAATCCTTAAAATACTTAGACCATAATATATATTAGAACCCAGTAACCCTTGCAGAACACCCTCAAACGGAACCCTGTTTAATCATTGAGGCCGCTATAGAGATCGGCTCTGGAACTCCTGGGCAACCGGCCTCGTCCCGAAGCGCTCGGTCGAATCCCTCATACTCAGGTCTATGGCTTCGAGCCCGAATCGGATAATGGATGAATAGGGGTCAAGGCATCGGGTTTAAGGTTTAAGGGTTTAGGGTTTCGGGAGGAATGGACACGCAAGGGGGTGGGGGAAATATGTCTAAGTTCGGGCTGCAGATCATATGCATACAGGTCTTCGTGGAATGCTCGTCTTACGCGTCTTGCGCCCACAGCTTTTCTCCAGAGTCATAGACATGCCTCAGGAAAGATGCCAGCAGCTTGGGGCA